ATTGATTTGGACTGCGGCATCGCTGGAGAAGCGCAGAAATAAGGAGAGAATACGTCATCGATTGCGGCGCATCACAGTGTTCTCAATAAATATAAAGTTTCCACAAATACCAACAAGCCCTTTGTGATCAAAGGTGAGTTCATAGATGTCATTAGCAATTTCATCAACATCAAGATCGATTTTTTTTGGCAGATACAAATTGGTTCAGAAGATCTTGGACTTCATTTTGAGAAATGAGATGACTGGTAAGATTCCTCCTCAGAAATGGTGAATAAATTGATCAACCTTTTACTTGTCAGCTGATCAGAACATCTCTTACTGACTCAGTACCCACAAGAGCAATAGAATAGACAACAACCTGTAATGTCATCTTTGATGGCACAATGTGCCAATGAACTGGTTGACAATTCTGCCAGGGGTGTCTTTGATCTCACACAACATAGAATAAGAAGCTTCATCAATAATGAGCATCACAGGTTTTTGTTGACTTTTCAGGCACTTTGAAAAGAATGACAAGAATATGGCTGATGATGACCTCAGCTGGCATTCTTGAATTTGAACCATGAGTTGTTCTTTGCCATCAATGTTGCACATAGTGATCACCAGAATTGTAATGTGTTCCTGAATTCAATACTGCTTTGGAAAGATATGTAGTATACCTCATAACCAGTTTGTTCATAACTAGGAACTTGGTGATTTTGCAAAATATTTTGCAGATATGACACTGTGGAGTGTGCAATTGTTGTCTTGCCACTTTGCCAGTGGCCAAAACTTGTGCTCAAGGAGTGATTTTGCCATGCGTTCAATTATAACTGTAGGATAAATGTAAAAGTTAATATCAGGTGATGCCACATTGGCAGTTGCAAATGTCTTTTTGTAGGAAAACACTGGAATGTACAATCACTTTTCTGGAACAACTGCAAGTCAAGGATAGTCATAAAAGATGAGCAGAAAGTGCAAAAAATGGTATTTAGTTAGCTCACAGACAGTTTGCTGACATTCCTCAAAGGTGGACAAGTGGAATATAACAAAGAGACAAACATATAGAATGCATGTGACAACAGCATTCAAACTATTCTCACTCCACTTCTCCTCTATTTAACCCAATATCTCTTGCCCTTTGAGAGTTCAGAGTTTTTGTATAACCTAGCTCTGCTATGTTTACTAATAACGCCAAACTGCCTCTCTTGCAATATAGCACAAAACCAGTAACAGTATTCAAACTCTTCTCCCTATTGCTCCTCTATCCTCCCATAAATATGTGTTGCTTACTTGCTTACCTGGTCTGGTCTTGCTGTATGCTTCAGCAATCTCTTTGTTTGTTGCAGAGGGATTTTTGCGCAATAAAATTGCCATCCACTTCGTTTAAGTCCATGTCTAGATGTTTTATGATTTAGTGAATGGTAATAAAGAAGAGTCGCGATCTGGCTCTGCGCGCCCTGTTTATGTGTTTTACTTACACAAACATGTGATACTTCTCCGTATTGAAGTGCCGAACCAACTATAGTTGCCGAATATCCGTTGGGTCCAGCACAATTAGCAAAATAGATCGAGAACCCTCCATGCCTTTGTAGAGACAAGGAGAATGACAAAGGGAAAAATCTCTTTTATATGCTTCTTTGCATATCACGTTACGGAACAATGTTTCGAACTGTTGTATTGTATGCCGGGATTACTTCTGCTTTGGAAGTGAAATTATGACTGGGATAACTGGCAATCGATGGTCCCTTTATTACTCTTACAAACAACATTTGCATATTACTTTGAAAGTTGGGAAGTGCACATGAGTCGCTACTGAACGCACATTTACGCAGTATTAATATAACTTTACACATTATTTATTACAAACAGTGTCTACTTTGTCAACGATAATATCTGATGTTAAATAACGCGAGCTTGCATGGGAGGCAAACTAGTACTTGATCAGAGTACAGACCCAAAGCCTGTCTCGGAAAACGATAACTACTCCTATTCTTTGGGCTCGCGAATATTAACTAATATCATCATTACCGTTATCGTTATTTTTAAAACTACGGCCATCGCGAATTATTTCTCTGTTAGCGCTACTCAAAAATAGATTTGATAAACCGGTTACATTAATACTCAATAAAATCAGATTTCATTCGAAAGACTGATATCGTCGCACGATTACCACTACTTTCTATAGTAACCCTTCCCAAAATCTCACTAAATGCACCGAGTTTATCACATCTATCGCTATTTGCAAGGCTGTAGGCATTATTACAATTTTATAAAATGGCGGTCTTTGGTTCTCTAATTATACTGCGATTCAAAGTGACAATAAATGCGATAAGAAATAATTTGATTCATTGTGTGTTGTCCCTAGTACTACAAATCTGACACAATTTATGAGTAGCAATCCTTTATCGTATTAGAAACAATGATAAGTATGAAAATGGATCACGAAATAAACCAGTCCAAATTTGATTAGCAAATCAACTCGTTTCAAAATCAGCAATCGTAATTATGTTTAATGAACTCGCACTTTTTGATGAAACAGAGAATTTATTATAAAAACGGCGTAACCTAATTCAATCTCGCCTTTCCAATATCAATACTGAAACAAATGATTCTATAAAAAGTCAAACAACAAATCATAAAAAAATGGTTCTTTTCACTGTTGAATTCGTTTGTGGGCTGTTGATCGGACTTGTCGTTGGTTATTTGCTCCATTTAAAACATACATTCAACTCTGCGATATAAATCAAAAGCTTGAAATAGTAATTCGAGCAGTCGATTTAAACAAAAGCAAAATCAAATCTAAATCCAGTAAACTGCTCAGTGAACGAAAATACGCAGAGGACGTTGAGAATCTGTGGAAAGATTTAAAAAATTATTTGATACAAAATCTGAGCTGGACTTGGACTTTCCATTTACCAAAGTGACCATACTTCAGATTACCACCATCAAGTAATACATCTTGCATCTTCAAGAGTTGGTGGGATTGTTTTCAACACACTTCTGGCATCAAATCGAAGTGCTATTCAATGGTTTATTAGTAGTACAACAGGAATGCCACAACTTGCAGCATTGCATGGAATGGTTTTTGAGGAAATGGCACACAACATGCTTGCAAGGGGAGGAACCTTTGACTGTAGAGAACTGACTGATGACAATAATCAGACATATTACAGAAGCAGATTAATAGCTGATAGGCTCAATATTCAGTACTATCATCTTAGTAATATTGGGGATGAACAACACTACTGGAGGCCAAGCTCTGAAAATGCAGGGTCTATTGATGCAATTTATGATGCTGAATGGCTATTCCAGATGACAGTACCAGTAATAGTAAATCATGGCATCAAGGGTAAGCCATTAGATGATGTCATCAAGCACCTTGATAAGCTTTGAGGAGAATACCAAAGAACCTATTTGTTGTTCCTGAGGATGTGTTTGGTCAAATTCAAAGCAGAACTTCAAAGGAGTTGATGGAAGGGTTATTCAAGCATTTAATTATTAATTTGTCTGTCTATGAAGATGCAATTATCATATGGGGCAGACTGCAACAAAACCAGACAAAGTGAACATTTTATAAATGAGAGGCTGATTGTGATGTGGCTGTAAAATTGACCAGGGTGACTGATGACGTTTTGAAAAGTAATAACGTGCTCATGGACTTGTTAATTTTAATGCTCCCTTTATCATACCAAAATGGGATGATTATAAACCATAACAGGATTAATATAGG